CAAGCCCCACTCCTGGGCTAGTCAGTAGCAAGATCTTGAGACAGCTAAGTGGCTCAGTGGATAGAATGCTGGGCCTGGAGTCAGGAAGACCTGAGTTCAAATCTGGCCCCAGACAATTGCTAGCTATGTGACCCTAGGCAAGTACCTTAACCCTGTTTGTCTCAGTTTCCTCATCTGTAAAATGAGCTGGAGAAGGAAATGATAAACCATCTCAGCATCTTTGCCAAGAAAACCCCAAATGAGGTCACTAAGAGTCAGACACAACTAAACTGAGCAACAACAAAAGTAAGATCTTATATATATATTGACTTACCTTGTTCCCCACTTTCCTGTCGATTTTCTGCCAACTAGAGATGATATCTACAGAGCTACCTCTGTGTGATACCTGTCAGAAGCTATGGGTAGGCGCTTTTGATAAATGCTTCAGAATAAGAAAAATCATTCCCTCTAACAGTGACGTTAAGGCAGTTTCAAGATGGAATTGCGTTCCTTGTACCCATATGAAAGTCAATCAACAAGTGTTTATTGAGGCCATCACACTGGTTGTGAATTTTAAAATATAATAAAAATCTTTAAATGCCAGAGGCATTTGGGACCCTTGAAAATTATCAAGATCAACCTACATGTGAGAAAATGAAGGCCCAGCAAGAGAAAAGGTGCATGATGTATTATTATCAGTGAGCCAGAACTAGGAGCTCATTCTCCTGCCCTCTGGTCCGGGGTATATCCATCCCCTATGGCATGGTCCCATATTAGGCATGGTCTTTGTCCTCAGGGAGATTTTATAAGCTAAATTATTCTAGTTGAGAAATGGCCTCTCACTCCCTCCTAAATGCTCCTCTCTCTGGATTCTGATTATATCATTCAACTGAAATTGCTCTTTCCCAAATTACCCGTAATCTTTTCATTGCCATATCTAGTGGAACACTCATAGTCCTCATTTTGGAATCTTCTGCAGTGCTTGAGACCACTGATCAAGTTTTCCTGCAAGCTCTCCTCCTCTGGATTGTTGTGACTGCTCTTTCTCAGCTCTCCTCATTCTCAGTCATCTCCTTTGCTGGATCTTCAACCTGGTCAGGCCCATTGACTGTGGGTGATATTCGGGGCTCTGTCCTGGGCCTTCTTTTCCCCACCTCCAAATTATCTCACTTGGTGAGCTCATCAGCTCCCATGAGCTCAGTTAACATTTCTACACAAACAGTTTCCCATATCTTCTTATTCAGCCTTTACAGTCTTTCTCCTGAGCTTCAGTCTCACATCATCCATTGCTTTGTAGACACCTCAAATTGGATGTCCAATAGGCATACTTACTGGCTGAATGACTCTGGGCAAGTTGCTAAACCTCCACCTGCTTCAGCTTCTTCAACTGTAAAATGGGGGTAATAATAGCACCTACCTCATGGGGTTGTTGTGAGGATCAAATGAGATAATATTTGTAAAGAACTTATAGCACAGTCCCTGAAACATAGTAAATGCTATATAAATGCTAGTTCTTGTCATTATTGTTATTATTATTATGATAATGATCATCATCATCATCATTATCTCAGTTTAGGGCCTCAGTTGGGCCTCGGGTTCCTCATGAGCAGATTGGACTAGTTGATTACTAATCTTCCTTCCAGTTCTAAAACTCTGATCCTTTGCATGTCGCAAGTATAAAGATAAATGCAACATAGTCCATTCTGAGTCTGACAAACATGGCTAGTTAGCTCACCAGTTATAGTGTAATCATAATGGTGTATAAAGAATCTCACCTTTCAGGGCTAATAGCCAGCATGGAATCACAGGTAAATTGTCCCCTAAAACGAAGCCTATTGTAGGAGATTTATGAAAGAAATTTCACTTTTTCAGAATCAAATCCTACATAGAAAAGTGAATGTACTCATGTACATGAATAAACCATTAAAAAAAATCAACATCATACAATCTTAACCACTGGAGTAATGGAATGTCACTGGAATGGTGAATGTATATGGTGTGAATTATACAAGTGTATATATACATGCCTATGTGTAAGTATACATATGTATCTACTAATCTACATAGAAAGATATAGTCTCTCAAAATCTATGCAATTCACATGGAATTTTTAGTGTAAGGTACTTCTTGTAGTTCATTGAATCAAAGATTTAGAATTGAAAGGAATATTTTACAAGTAAGGAAACCAAGGACCAGAAAGATTAAATGATTTGCCCAAGGTTATATAGGTGAATAAATGTTAAAACCAGGATTCAAACCTAGGTCTTCTGATTACAAATCTAGCACTCTTTCCACTAGGTTTCTTTGAGCCTTTTAATGAAGATGGCATAATATTTCAGTCAGTGATAGGAAATTAAGTATGCTTCTCAGGAGTCAACAAAGTTCATAGACAGGTTCTTATAATAGCATCATGTGACACTGATAGAGGCGAGGGTAAAATGTTTCTAATGGTTGGTGACATCTATTTTGGCTAGAGAAAAGATTTGTTTCCACATTATGATATTCTTGAATTGACTTTGTGTGCATGTGGTTTTGCTTGATTGTGTTTTTTTTCTTGAGATTTGCCCACCCTAATGAACATTTTTAAAGTTGGTTTGTTGCTTAGGGTAGAATGACACCTCTTTCTTATAAAAAGATACCTTCTTAACATTTCTTTGGCATCCTCTAGACTACAAAAATCTGGGCAAATGAGACTCAAGAGAAATCTAGAGAAGAGGCATTTTGCTTAAGATATTTCAGACAAACGTGTGGTAGAGACAGAGTTGTGTGTGTGTCTGTGTGTGTTTAAGGTTTCCACTTAAAGTTCGGTGCCAAAGCTACAGTACTTATACATTTTCTAAATGTGTTTTAAGCAATAAGTTGTACAACATTTTTAGAACATGTGTTAAGCTATTTCTCTAAGAATGAAGCTCTTAACAAAACATAAGCACTCTGCATGAGATCTTAGCAGCAAAGTGCTTAAAAGATAAAGTAAGAATTGGTACCATGGGAAGAACACCAGCTGTAGAGCACACAGGTCCATTATGAGAAGTATGGTAGTGGGTAGGGAGAAAATGATTTAATCAGGAGTAAAACCAATTTTATTATAAGGGCACGCAGGGGGTGTGGCACCATAGTGAGAGGGACATTTCAAAATATCTGACAGATTTCAACAATGTGAAAACCCCGTTCTTTAAAGTGACAGTAAACCCCATCAGGTCTCTCTTTTTGATGCTATTGTTAACAGTTGACTGTTTAAAGCTGGCCTGCTAAGATGCTGTCGATCTATTTCAATAGTGTGTAGCCAAATAAAAGACTAATTGTTGAAATGCTATCAATCAAAAATGATCACAGGGTGGAAAGAAGGTCTCCTCTGCTTATTTAGTTATGAACAAAATCATTGTTTTGCCAGAAAGGTAAGAATAAAAAGTGAAGGGGGGTAACCTCAATAAAATAAACAGATTCACCTTTGTTTTCTCTCTCTGCTACATCCTGTTAGACAGAGATTGTAACTTCCTATCAATGGCATGGATGATTTTACATATACATATATGTATGTGTATATATACATATGTATATATATATATGTATACACACACACACACACATATATATATATATATATTTCATTTGAAAACCATTTCCAGATAGCTTACACTCATGTTTGAAAAGGAATACAAACAATCTTGATTTGAGTCTCAGCCTGTCCCCTACCTTCCCCCCCTAAAAAAAAACCCATTCACACACAAAGAAAAACTATTGAGGATGCTCACAGTGTTTGTGTCCTTTTATTTCTTTCAAATCACAACCACTAAATGCAATCATAAGGCTGATGTCAGAAGGTAATATCAGAACCAAATGAATGTGAGTTAAAACAACCTGTTCTTTAAAATAATAATAATAATAATAATAATAATTCCAGTTCCTCTAAGATGTGGTAAATACATGTCCAGGTTATTCTGTTGTAGGTGAACCTTGGGCCTCATGAAATGGTTGCTGTTAGTTTTGCTATACACAAAATAAAAGACCTGCTTCAAAATTGCCCAAGGAGAAATACAATGGTTTTTGAGTAGCAGTATCACCTGGGTTGCTCCTTGTCATCATAAATCTGTAGTATCAGGCCCTGTGAATTCCCACAGATCCCCTTGGATAAGAACCCTTCTTCACCTTTACAATAAGGAGGAAAAGGAAGAAAAAAAAATAACTCTCCAGCACAGCTTTATTTCTATTAAAATCTTCATCTTGGCATTTTGTTTCTTTAATATTTAAATTTCTCAATTCACTCAAGCTTCACAAGCAAACATTTTGTCGTTTCTAAAAGGAGTTGGTAAGCGCTTGTGGTTTGTCTTTACTGTTATCATTTTTGACAGCTTTGCATAGCCTGCATAGGCCAACAGGGGTCTGTCTAATATTGTTGCTGGGCAAATCTTCTTTCCTGAGATGAAAACTAAACAAAATATTTTTGAAGCAGTAAGAAGGAATTAATGTCCTTTCTCTCACAGTACTCTATTCCTTGCTGACATTACGTTCAGGCAAAAAAAAGGAGAAAAGTGTTACCCATTATTCCCTTGTACATAGCAAGGCTAACACATGTAAAGCAATAACTCATTTTCTATTGCCATGTTTAGCATATGTCTCCTGTTGGCTCAGCAAGGCCTTTAGGCCGGTCCCTTGAGCCGGCCATCATTGGCAACTCTTAGCCCCTCGGCCTCAAAACCAAATAGCTTTGAATCATGTTGAGCTGTGATGCTAATTTTCATACTGATGCATTATGGGAATAAATGTATCTGACATACTGTGTCAATGGCACTGTCTCTTTGTGTCTCTTGTTTTTTTGTTAGCTGCATTCCTACAGATGGTATTCCATTGAAAATGTTCCCTTCCTACGGAAAGGAAAAAAAAACATGCACAGCACCAAACCTCTAGGTGCAGAAGGCTGTTAACGGTTGCTGATGATAGTAGGCAAACATTAACATAATAATTAGTGTCTTGTAATTGTTTCATTAAAACCAGTTGTTCCATTTCTCCTCGTGTTTTCCCAGAAGAGAAGCTGAATTTGGACGACAGCCAGTGGGAGGACATCCACGTTGTCACCGGAGCACTGAAGATGTTTTTCCGGGAGCTGCCTGAGCCGCTCTTCCCATACTGCTTCTTTGAACAGTTTGTGGAGGCAATAAGTAAGTACCTCACATTCAGGAGCAGTTAGTGAAATAACCTGTCTGTTTAAATAATAATAGTAGTGATAATAATCAAAGAGCAGACACATTCCCAGCACTCTCTACCTTCCATTTCAGTTGTTGTGGTATTTGGTTGCTTTTTATTTCAGGCTTTGCATTACTGTCTGAGTTTAAAAAAAAACAAATGTATCCAGTCTAGATTGGCCCATTTATTTAAAACAGGCCTTATGAAATGAAAACAAACAGCTTTCCATGGAGACTGATTTAAATGAGTCACCCTTTATATTCCTCGCCTCTATCTAGTCTGTTTTCAGGATTCCAATGAGTACAAAAGGCTCTTTAAAAATGTGTGTATTTTGTCCAGGTCAATTAGTTATGACATTTCATCAAAGATTTGTTAAATTACCAACTGAGGCAGCACATTCTCCACTCTTTTTCTAACCCTTCCCCACCAACACTTGTAACTAGCCAGCTGTGATTGACCTGCAGACAATGTGAATGTTATATTTTTAATGACAAAGCTTCTTCTCGTGTGTTAAATTAGTGACATGTCACAGAGAAGTTGCATCTCTTTCTGCCCAATGGGTATCATATGGACTAACATGCAAAGCTTTTTTTTTTCTCAGTAATTATGGGTTACTTTTTTTTCTTTTTTAGAAAGAACCACTTTTTTAAGTAATATTGTATATTTTTTCTGAATGTAAGGAAACTTCTCCCATGGATGCTCTGAGAAGCAAGCAACCAACACATCTCTAAATTTAATATCTTAGGGTACACTTATGAGAATTGTGACAGCTTGGAAAAAGTTGCCTGGCAAGCAGGCTCATTTTTTTAAGGGGGAAAAAAGCTTGCAAGCCTAGCAGGAGCTTAATTAAAGTCCAATCGAGAAAAATCTCCAAGAAAAAAAAAAAAGCTCGACTTAGGAGGTCTGGTCTTTGATGACTGTCTGTGCAGAGCTCCTATTAATGGGAAATGGGAATTTGGTGAGCCCACATTGGACAGCAGACTCGTCAATGTGCACTTTCATTCAGTTTTCATTTCGCAAAAATCTTCATATTCATGCAAGGTCCCAGAAAACTGATGTCAAGGGTAATAAAGCAGAGGTGATTCTCTCAAGGTCTCTCTCCTCTTGCTGCTTACAATTACAGAGTTTTCTTTCTTTCTTTTTTCTTTTCTTTTTTAAGGGCAGGAACAATGATCATCATTGGGTTTTTCAGAGTGAGGGCAACATTCTTTTCCCATTTCCTGGCTTTTTATTTCAACCACTCCCATGTAATGGGAAGAGTAATGAAGAGTCGGGTTTTACAGTTCCCAAGTTCTCATAGTTTCTTTAACATGCACACAAAAGGCCTACAAATCTCTGGTTATACAAAAACTGGAATATACCTGAACATTTAAGTATGTCTCTGGGTCAGATGTTCCAAAAAGAAATTGGACCAGTGGAGGGAGGTGGTGGAGAATGAGCACAAAAGGGACAAATATGTGATGGGACTGTGACTACTATCGGCCAGTAAAAACTTAAGGGAGCCACTCAATTTCCAATATCTTTAAGTAAAAAAATACCAACCCTGGTTGTATCTGTGTCCTAACCCACTGTGACAAATACCATTTAAACTTCTCTTAGCACGTCTTCCAAGTGGAGTATTTAATCCATTCACTCCCCACCTCTCCAGTTGCAGGAGGGAGATGATCATAACCAGACAAGAGCACACACAACTTTTGGTTTGACATGGGAAATAGCACCATTCTGTAGCAGCCCTCCACTCATGTGTATGCCTGATTGTTTTCGCCAGAAAAGCATATGGCTAGAGTTGGTATAGGTCAGGGTTGATGTGGGCAGCATTCTGCTGTAACTGATTGCCATTGGCTATGGAAGCTGCCACCTGCAGGGAGTTCAGTTGAAAGAGCCACTCTGTGAGAAAGGAGATACAGAAAGAAACAGAAACAAATAGAAGTAGTCCTCACCTATCAATGACCAAGAAGAAAGGCTGGTGGAGATACATATACTAACAATGATAATCCAAGTCTATTAACAAGCAGACAGATGTTTCCTAATATGCATATTCTTGGTCTAACTTTGAAACCAATTCCAATAGCTTTTTGCTTGGGTATTATGAAGCTAAAAAAAAAATTGCCCATCCTTGTTCCACTTCCATTCATTGTTCAGTAAGCACTTATGAAATACCTACTACTTGCCGGGTACTGTACTGGTAATACGACGGCACAAAGACAAAAATAAATTAACTCCTGTCCTCAAGGAGCTTCTGTTTTAATGAGGAGAAACAATATGTACACCAGAGTAATATGTAAGTATGATCCAGCTATGGGGGACAGCTTAGGCAAAGGCTCAGATAGAGAAAATGAATGCCCCCCATGTATGAGGAATAGCAAACAATTGGGTTACAATGTAGACTGCAAGAAGGAGTAATATAGAGTCAGCCTATAAAAGTAGGCCAGAACCAGACTGAGAAAAGCTCTAAAATGAGGCTGAGGAATGTGTATTTAATCCTAAAGGCAATAGGGAACCAGTGGAACATCTTGAGAAGAGAATTACATGTTATAAGACCTGTACTTTAGGAATTTCTGCATGCAGCAATGTGGAACATGGATTGGAGAGGGAAAAGAGTCTAGGCCAGGATCACAATTAGGAAGCTACGTGGCAATAGACCCAGTGAGACAGGATGAGGGCCTGAGCTAGAGTGGCGGCCATTTGAGTGGAAAGAAGAGGAGAGATTTAATTTATGATGCAGAGGTAGAATCGAGGTGACTTTAGAACTGATGAAATATGAATGGTAAGAGAAAGAAAGGAGTTAGGGATGGTTCTAAGGTTATAAACTTGGTTAACCAGAAGGAGGGTGATAACTTCATTTGATACTTTTCTTTGTCAAGTCCTTAGTCATTTGGCACAACAATACTCTATTTTTCAGACCCTATTATTAACAGAAGGGAGATCACTTGCCCCTCTTGGACTCATCATTTAGTTTCAGCAAATTCAACATCCTGACCCAGATGTGTGTGATTACAGCATTATAGTGCCAGAGCCCCAGAAACACGTATTCAGGTTGAGGCTCCACAGATCTTTGTCTCAGTCCTAATCCCTAACTCCCAGCTTCCAACAGCAAGGAAGAGGCCATTTCTATTAGAAGGATACCAAAATGACCATAGCTATGTCTCATGAGAACACAAGATTCTTTTCTTACCTTCCCTTTCTACCTTTTTCCCAGGTTTCATCTACACAGTATGTAAGTTGGAGATATTCTTTTGGCCTCAAGGTGAAAGTTCTGTTAGTGTTAGTGATAAAGTGAAAAAGGGAAAAGCCACCAGAAGACAGCACTAGAAAACTTTGGCCTAGGTGAGGGAATGCTCTTTCATGCATAAGAAATTAATTGCCACTTGTGACATTAGAAAGATTACTAAACATTTTGAAGAACAGAAAGCACTTACTTTTTAAAATAGTTTCTTTTTGGACTGAAGACAAGCATTATTATGATAACCTGCAAATGTCATAGTGATCTTGTATCTGATAATACCCATTAGGGTAACAAAAGAGAGAGAGAGAGAGAAAGATTGTTTTATATTTCAGAATCCAAGTGCTTCAACCATTGATCTGAAATTCCATCCTCAGCGCCAAAGCAATTGGGTCACCTACAGGTCATTTCCTGGGGATTTAACCCTCTCACTGAGAGGACTTAATTCCTTGGAAATGACTTGTGCTAAAGCCATTATTCAAACTATAAATGGGAGTTAGGTAGAAAAAACCCCACAGCTACAGCATTTTTATGATAGGTGATGCAATATCACTGTGTCGTGAGGCCAGGCATTTCCAGGGTAACTGAGATGTTACCAGAGGTAGGATGTTGGACTGTACTGGCCACTCCTTCCCTTCACTCTTGAGGGCCAGACAGGCATACAAGGCCCAAGGCCTGGGATAGGAAAACAATTTTCTAACCTATTTTTTGCCTTCACAGTTTTTGAAGGACAAAAGAGACCCAGAGAGGGTTAAGAAAAGAGCAGCACAAATTACAGGGATGATTTAGTTGAAAGAAAAGATGACTGAGGGGTGACTTAATATCTGGCTCCAGATATCTGAAACACTGACCAGCTGTTCTCATTCTCACAGAAGATAACTAAATGAAATGGACTTAAATTTAGGCAAGGCTGACTTAGGGTAGAAATTAAGAAGAACTTCCTTAAAGTTAACATAAATAGATTTCCAAAGAGGCCTACTGAATATTCCTGGATATCTCTCCTTCTTTAAAGCCTGGAATACATAAGTATTTATTTGAATGGCTTAAGTATTGCACAGCAAGAAGATGTCTTCCAGTCCAAGGTGGTTTTGTTTCATTTTCCTGCAGCCCATTACCTCCCCATCCCATTCCCAAATCCTTTCAGTCTGATACAATGTCCTGATCCTAGTAGTGACCGTTTTGGTTTTTTCCCCTCAAGGTTTTTTTTTTCTTGTGACTTCTCTTAGTCTCTCTCACATGAGGAGCTCTCAGACATGGATTATTTCCCACATTTCTTTTCTGCCTTCTCTCAAATCCCAACTGTTATCAGAGCTCAGAAAAGAGTCAGGCTGTTTGGTGAATAGTAAATAAGAAGGGGATGAAGAAAGAAGTAATATTGGTTTCCTCTTTTATGTTATTTACCTGAGGGGAAAAGTGGAATTTATTTTCTCTCTTTTAAAACATAAGCTCTAAACTCACCCACAGGAGGAAGTGATCAACCCACCAAGTTCTGATTAAGCCTCTGCACGGCAGAGGATTTTGCTCATCTGTTTTGGACTCAGTTTGCAATGTACCAATTTGCAGTTGCTGATATGTTATGTTTTGAGGTTTCTTAAGCTATTTTGTGTCCATGTGCAATTCTTGTCACATGTTATATAGGTGCAGCAAGTGAACAAATTGTTTTATCTTTCTTTGTTTTTCCTTCACACACCCCCAGAACACATTTCTCTACTTAGAGGCATAAAGTACCTCTATTGTCACCTTCAGCAAAAG